TCTATCTTACAGGAGAAGTGCTGAAGTTTATATGCAGAGTGCACATCCAACTTAGTGGAACCAATCACACTATCTCATCTCACCAATGACAAATACAGACACATGAAAGCCAAGGCAATGAGGTGGTAGCAGGATTTGGGGGCGTGGCCTTGCTTTTGGTCAGTGGTCTGAGTTGAAGTTTCCAGCTCCGCCACCTATAGATGACTTTGGGAAAGTCTTCCTGACCTGCACAATGAGAAAACAACACTTCCCTTGCCAGGGCTTGCTGGGGATCGGGGAGAGCGTAGGGGGGACTGAGATTTTGTGAGCAAATGAATATACATTTTCTATACATAGCAGATGCTCGATCAACACTGGTATCCTTGACTTTCAGTACAATCTGAGTTGGGGGCCCATCTTTGCAAAATTGTACTCGGAGGCTGGGGAGAAAAAAGGCGATGGGAAGCCAGCTCTTTCCTGCTCTAGTAGCAGGTACAGAAATTCCTGTCACTAATCAAACTGGCTGGACTTGTCTGTCTTCTTAAGCCCCAAATTCAGCTTATTCTCTCTTTAAGAAAAATCTAAACAGAACAATAGGTTCAAAGGGACAGGTCATTAGAAACAAAGAAAATAGGTATGTGGGGTACAGTTCCCAGGAAGCTATACTTTCTGGGCACAGATGCCTTTTTATTTAGTTCTACTTCTCATTTTCTTCTTTACAAAAGTCTCAAGTTTTGAAAGCAGAATTATCATGCCAGGCTTACTGAGCTATCAGGGGCCATAGTATCTGCACTTGGAACTAGAAGATATCCATCTGATACTATTTTCTCTGTGCCCATGTTCCAAGGCATGCAAGATTCCCAGTGAGTGTTGAGCAGAAACACAAAATTAGTGCTAACCAAGTTCAGTCTGGGGGCTGGATACTGTGCTTCTCTCTTTTTTGTATATTATCTTCTTTCAATTCTCCCAATCACCCTGGAAAGTGAAATCTCTATCCCCAATTTCAAAAATGAAGAAACTGATGATAGATTAGATGTGACCTGCTTGAATTAATACAGCAAAATATCAGTGTGATCCCCAGGCCAACAGCATCAGCACCACCTCCAGATTCAAAGAAAAGCACGTCCTAGGACCCCACCAGACCTGAGGGTGAGTCCAACACACAAGCCCCCCCACTGATTATTACATACACATAAGTTTGAGAACCGCAGTGCTAGCCCACCCTCAGAGGGGACATTGAGAAAATAGAGGTTCTGAAAGATGTGCCACCTTGCCAGGAGTAAAAGAATTGAGTCCAGGATAGTCACTTTCAGAAGCTGAATTTTCCTGCCTGGGTAGCTTACAATGTCCCTTTTGAGAGTAAAGACTAAAGTCCCTACTACCATAACGGAGCAAAAAACTGTGTGACCTTCCAGCAATATGGCTGAGATTTGAACCTGGATCGTCATGAGAAGATGCCGCTCTTCAAACCTGGTATGTTTTTTCCAAGACGCTGCTTGGAAAAACACTGTCTGCCCCAAGACAAGGAACATCTACCACATTGAAAGTGACCAGCAAAACGAAGGACCAGAGTGGGAGTCACATATTCAGAACTGTGATGGCATCTGCATATACTTCAACTATCAACTTCAAATCCTTGGGGGAAGAAGTGGTGGCTCTCCTCTCCAAAAACTATGTTAGGTTTTCGCTTTCCACTATTCTCTCTGGCTTACTGTGAACTAACATAAACAGATGGTGTCGGGCCCATGTGTTCCCAGAGAGTGCACAAGACATACTTAGGGGTGGCACTTTGGTTAGAAGAGCAAACAAGAGGCATTTGCAACAGAAGCATGCTTTTCAGGTGAGTTCACAGGTGATATCTGTATCTAGATTGGAATTATTCCACAGGGTGATGAAAATTAAGTAGGGCCTAAATTTTTCTCAAACATGGGTGACCTACAAGCCATTGATCTTACTAGTTTGTATTTAAATTCAATCAGAATTCTAAATTCTACCTTTCTTGACCAGATTCTTCATGTCTAAAGTGGAAATCATTTTTGGATTACCGGGAACATGCCTGCCAATATAAGAATAGTTATTACTATTGTAACAGGAAGCCTGGGAGTGCTGAAACATATGAGCTTTTAAAACCTTTTTTCAAAAACACCTACTGTTTATAAATTTCTGAGTACTTCCTATCTTTGGGACTAGAGAATAGAATTTACCTTTGGGGCACACTGCCCTATGATCTCAAAAGAATTAATTAAATGAAAATGTTATGCAAATATGAAACAAGAATGCACTCTTCCAGCAAGCAGCTAGTATGTAATCTTTCCACTACTTGGACAGAATTAGAAAAGATTTCTGGAGAAAGTCAAGTGAAGCATCCAACTTTTCCTTCAATGATTTTAGAACATGCACAAGAACTATGGAAGAGCTAACAGTAGCCAGGTATCAGGAAAGGTCAATAGAGCCTGGGGGAGACATAACAAGCAAGAAGAGGTCTGGAGGCAATGTAGGCATAATTTCACTGAGCTCACCCCATTTCCCTGGAAGGTGCAGGAAGCAGAGCAGAATAAGGCTGATTCTTAAATCACTGCCAGTAAACCCTTATAACAACTTATAACAACTAGGGGAAAGGATCCTTATAACAACTAGGGGAAAGAAACCCAAGAGAAGCCTGAAATTGATAATTTGGCACATCAGGCATATAGATTTTATTTGATAATAAAGGCTGATGACCATCTTTCATGATCCTGGATCCCAAATGCCCTCCAAGTATGAACCAGGAGAAAAAGAAGAGGCTGACAAAGCTACTGCTTATACTGTGCCATTCAGTAGTGGTGGGCTTACAGAGGAGTTATGAAGACCCACGATGCCAATTCATGCGTAGGTACCATGTGCTTGCTCCTCAGCAAACAAGACCAGGCAGGTAGTTAACAACCACATGCTCAGATCCCCTGTTGTGGGCATGTGTATACAACAGTAAGCGCATGCACACACACACACACACACTGCAGGAGGGTAGCTGACAGACTCTGAACTTCAGGCAGAGAAAAAAACACAATATCTCAACCTCAGCAGAAGGATGTCTGTACTGCTTGGTGACTAAAGGAGTTATCTTAGGGACTAAGACCACTGAGCATCATTGAATCTCAGAAGATTCAAAAATGTAAGGGTGTAATGCGCCATTCCTCCCAGATGTCCCAGAATCACTTACATTAGGAGTTGGAATTCGCAGGCTTTTTCATTCCTCCTGTGGAAATGGGGGATGAACACCGGAGTGATACACACCTATCAGTATTATTTAAAATCCAATTACAACTTATTCTATTCCTTGCAACCCCAAAGGTATACAGGGAACAAGTGGCATTATTATACAGGAAAGTGTGTGCATCTGCTCTAATTTGTTTCCTCATAATTATATTGCTCGAGCACTTCCATACGTCTAATAATTTGCATGCAACATATCTGATGACTGATGGTTGACTACCACAGTTAGGTACAAATGAGTCAGAATATTTGTCACCTAACATTGCCATGAAAGTTAATCATCTTCTTTGGAAGAAAGGATGGGTTCAGAATAGCACATAGTTGTGTAAGGAGACCCTATCAGGTCGCTTCTAGCTTCAAATGCTTCAGTGCTGGCATCTAGCACCCACTGCATTCTTCCTTCTGCACCAAGCTTTATAAAGAACTAGAAGAAAGTTCAGATCTTTCCTGACTAAAGACATTGATGCACAATACAACTACTAGATCAGATGAATTTCATGGACATAATAAATTTCTCCAGTAAAAAACACAGAGGAAATGCAAAGAGAAGGGATAAAGTAATGAATTCGGGCTAGAAAACATATTGTTCAGTGAAGAAGATGGACCTGGTTTGGGGTGGGAAGAGTAGCTGGAGAAGATTGTAAGTGTGGGTTTGTATAATACAGTTCGTGCTTCTTGAGTGTGCTTTTTTTTTAAAAAATTCACAGTAAAATAGCCGAACCCTTGCTAGGAACAAGAAAGGTATTTGCCTTACGATTATTATCCTGCCACTGCATCAGTCACATTATGTGAAGAAACCTAAATTCCTCCGTATGATGCCTTTTCCAAACTCATCTGTAATTCAGTCTACCTTAAGAACCCTCACATGATGAAATGGCTTTTTCTGTGTGACTACACGCATCGCCTGAATGCAAACACAAGCACGTGTTTCCAATATATCTCATGGACACCGAGAATTGTCTGAAATGTTTACCAGGGGAAAAAAACAAAGTTTATATAATCCACTAGCCATATGGAAAGTTCAAACGCCTATAATGGAAAAAAATGAATACAACTAGGGTAAGAGGAAGAAAGGAAGAGAGGTCGCAGGCTGGCAAAATCATCAACTCGTCACTTCTGATACCAAAAGCAACCATGTATTTACAAGTGAGTTGGAAAGATTCAAGTTTAAAAAATCATTTTTATCCACTACATCCATACCAGGATTGATTTTTATTTAATGTGGGTGAGTAATCAAGGGACAGCTTTATAACAGTGGAGTACAATACAAGAGACATTTGCAGGAAGGCTGGAGACAAAAAGGTGAACAGGACAGAGTAAGCGGCCACCGGGGAATCCCACAGGCTCCCATTTTCTTATACCAGAAACCTTCCCCCAGCAAGAAACTCTAAAGACAAAGGGCTGAATTAATTCCCACCATGTGCTTCGATTCTGTGCACTTATCTCCATGTGTCATCCTCCTTTGAAGCAAAAGACTCATTAATCCAATTCAAATTGCCAACATGAGTAAATCCTTTGCCTCAGCATTTAAATGCCAATACCAATTAAATACCAACAGCAACTTAACTACTGATATGACTTCCACTGCATTCAGGAAATCCAGCCAGAAGTCCAGCGCCCATAAATTCTAACATTCCTTTGTCAATTCTAATTTACTCAATGCAAAGAAATGAGGTAATTTGTCAGCCAAACTGATGGTGCATCCTACTGGATTCAAATAACTCCACAAACAAATCAGAAGAAACAAACTGAGTTGCAATCCGCCAAACCTGAAAGATGTCTTCACCAGGGCTTCAGGGCTGTCGAGTGGAGGCAGCTCGTCAGCTAGGATTTCCTCTGGTGGCCGGGGGTCATTGACAATTGTGGGTCGCGGTTTCTCCTTGACATTGCCTGTGAGCCCATCGATGAGGGAGTTCCACAGACAGTTCTGTGACTTAGACCCTGAGTCGTGAGGGGAGAGAAACAAAGGTGTGCAGGTGAATTACCAATGAACTTTAGGTCCTGCCTCGACCAGGATTTTTTTTTTTTTTTAAAGATTTATTTATTTATTCATACAGAACTGGGGTACAGGCCAGAGGCTCAGGGACGGTGAGAGGCTTCACCAGAGACAGAGTGGGGAGCAGAACAGGCAGATTGACGAAGTACACTGCTGAGGGGAGCAGCGGGCAGGTCAGGAGAGGTCTGGCTCGCCATGTGGTCTCCTCCGGGGCAGGCGACAGGCGGGAATCGAACTCATGCGGAAGTGGCTTCAGATTCTCAATGCTGTGCTTTAACCCGCTGCGCCACCAGGGAGGGCCTCGACCAGGATTTTTTAAAGCAGAGCAGGAAATATTATGTTTTTTTCACCCACATCAGAGGTCTTTAGAAATTATTGGACCAATGACATATGAAGTCATGAGAACTTTCTTGATTTTTATGCAAAAAAAAAAAGAGGCTAACTGAATATACTGACTTATACCTAAATATTAAGGATCTAGCCTATCTCATTTCAGTGGTGATCAACCCCAAGCCCTGCTAGAACTTCAGGCATCTATTTAAATTTTTATTCAGCAACTGGAAATATACAAAGGATCACCATTTCTGAGAAAGTAAGTATGTGCCGACACAAATCTTCCCTGTGAGCTCAGCTGGCCTGAGGCCCAAGGCCCGGCCCACCCACCAGAGGGCCTGAATTATTGGCTCTCTTGGCAGTGATGACCAGGAACACTGCAGTGCGTGCCTGGGCTCATGCTGCTATGGCAGGCCCCACAAACTGTACCCCACTGGAGTAAAATTGGGCAGGATCGTATTATGACTGCAAGACATACCTAAGTAAAAATCATCAGGAAATTTGAAGAACATGATTTCTAATGCATAGGTCCAGGAGAGCACACAGAAAGCTACAGAGCCACACAATGAGCTCCCAAGTAGAGAGACCTGGGGCTCTGCCTTTCTCTCTTTGTTGATAAATGTAAAACATAAGAGCAGGAATTTGGGCACAGGAAGGGAAAAACAGGGTCACAACCAGCCAGTTATCTAAATTCCTGAGGGTGTTTTGAACTTCATGGGTGGGATGGTCTGCTTTCTTATCTAGCTGTTTTATTAGTAGTCATTCATACAGCTGGCAAAATGTTGATTCAAGATGAATGTCTTTGAAGTGGATGCTTCCACAATCCAAAGTTTAATGCCACAACAACAATAATCATAATTTTAAAAAGCTTAGGAAAATTACACAGTATCCTCCTCTATGAACACTTCTTACATAGGAGATGAGCAGTAAAGGCAGACGTGAAGTAGAAATGTTGTCAGAAAAGTAGAGTCTAATCAGTCAGGTAATCAAGATCAACATCAACAGGGATAAATTATGTTGATTTTATGTACCCTGGATATGATGTGATGAAAATGACGCTTTAGCACCATGACCTTCCTTCCCCAGACACAGAACCATAGTATATTAAACATATTTCTAGCTTCTGTGAATTTGGTGCTTTAACATCTAACCTACTTGAATATTCCAGGAGAACTTTGTTCTGGACAATCTGTTAATACACCTCAGTTACCTTGCCTTGGCCTCTTGCCTTCCTCATTGCCTACCGCAAAACCACCCAAACCAAGTTAAATCTCCAGTTACCCCCTTATCGAGCTTTTACACTGCTGGCTGCTAGCTACCTGCCCTAGTAACCCCAGAACCAAGTACCAGACAGCAAGGACAGCCCAAATGCACCAAAGCTGAAATCATTCAAATTCAAGTTCTACCGCTGCTTGCCCTGCCACACCCATTCCTTCCCACAGAAACCACATAAAGGCTCTCCACCATGGTTTTTCCTGTCCCTCTGCTTTTAACTTAGTGTTTCTCCACTGATTTAAAAAGACACCTGCACCCCATGTTTATTGCTGCTTCATTTACAATCAGAAAGACATGGAAACAACCCAAATGCCCAAACATAGATGACTGGATTAAAAAGATGTGGTGCATGTACACAATGGAATATTACTCAGCAATCAAAAAAAAACACATGCCTTTTGCAGCAACATGGCTGGAGCTGGAAAATATCATGCTTAGTGAAATAAGCCAGAAAGAAAAGGAAAAATACCAGATGGTTTCACTCCTAGCAGGGCTATAAAAGACCAGGGGAGAAAATAATAATAATAATGAGCAACTAGATACCAGGGACATTTTATGGGGGTGGAATGGGGAATGGGATCAAAAACAGTGGGGGGAGGGAAGTGCACTGGCCTATGGTGATGGCACACGGGTGATCTGGTGATGGGAAGCCCACAGGGATTACAACTGAGAAAGGGAAAATGATGTAAAAATAAACTATTATATTATTTAAAAAAAAACAAAACAGCGTTTCTCAGGTGGGCAAAGTCAACATCAACAGGGATAAGTTATGGTGATTTTGTGTGTGTGACAGGTACCCCTTCTTTGGGGCTCTGCATTAGCAAACTATCAATGGCAATCATCTCCTGATCTGCTGCTCTTGCCACACTTTAAGAAGATGAAGACCTACGAAAACATTCAGTCTAGTCAGGGGGAAAACATCAACCAAGTCTCAATTGAGGGACATTCCAAAACACTAACTTTTTTTTTAAGTTTTTAAAACTATTGTTCACAACTGCCTGGTTACCAAAAAGTAAGTCTGAGATACAGTCACAGTCAAGAGGAGCCAAAGACGTGATAACTAAATGTAATGTGAACTAAGCGAAATCTGAACACTAAGGAAATCTTAATCAAGCATGTACTTTAACTAAAATAATATGTCAGGCTCTCCTTGGTGGCACAAAGGGTTAGGACGCAACACAGCAAGCCACTCGCACTTCAGTGAAAGTTCGATCCCCAGCCCCAGAGGTGATACACATGGCGTGGCAGACCTCTCCTGACCCGCCCACAGCTCCCCTCAGCAGTGTACTTCATGGATCTGCCTGTTCTGCTCTCCACTCTGTCTCTGGTGAATCTTCTCACCACTCCTGCATTTCTGGCCTGTACCCCAGTTCTATATGCATAAATAAATAAATCTTAAAAAAAATAACATGTCAGTATTTGTTCAATAATTATAACAAATAAACCATACTCAAATAAGAAGGATTGCATATTGGTAGAGTATATGGGAATTCTTTGGACTTTTACATTTCTGTAACTCCAAAACTGTTCTAAAAATATAAATATACACATAAGCCAATAACAAAAATAAACAATTATTATGAAACAGGCCTGTGAACAAATATCTTATTGTCTTGAGGGCAGCACCGTGATCACTACTCAGCTGCCACTGGATTGTGTTGGTTATGTTCCTTCCTAAGAAGAACATCACACAAAGACCATGCACCCATGGAACTGTGTCCTCCAGACGTGGTTGGCAAATTTTACCCCAAGCAGAGAGACGGCCGTTTTCCAGTTTACACAAGCTTGTTCATGGGGCATGAGGGAATGAGCAAGGCCAGCTAATTCATATACATGAGATAGAGGGTAGATATAGATCTGTATCCCAAGACCCTGACCCTGTTGTAGCCTTAGAGCCTGCCACAGAAGCAAGCATCTGGTTTTTTGTGCCTGAAGGACACCTCTGCCTCTAACATCAAAAGGACTCCACACACAAAGGGGAGCCCTCATGAGGTTCCCTGGACCTTTGCCAAAAACACCTGTGCGTCAGCAAACAATTCTTTTAATGACCATGGCCATGACTAATCCCCTTGGGATTTCCCACATCCAAGCTGCTGGTGAATCAAGTCAGAAAAAATTACAGCATATTGGTAGTAGGAAACAAACCCCTCCAATCCCTGAAGCACCAGCGGATTTTCTTAAAGCTCTACACACATATTTTAATAAGATCTGGTCCTTTTAATGAAGGTCTGGTTCTGTGTTAACAAAGGTCTGTTCTATGTTAACTAAGGTCTAATTCTAGGAGGAAGAACAACAGCAGTGCCTGTTTTCTTAAATTTGATCTAAGTAAAAGCATTACAATAAGCTCCCTGCCCATTTCCCTTCATTCTTTCATTTATTCATCCAATATGCACATACTGAATTCCCTCAATGTGCCAGGTCATAATCTGGGTCCTAGAAATAGGAAGATGAAAAAGACTGGTCCCTGAGGAACCAGCACACCATAAGCAATCACAGCGTGTGAGCAAAACACCATAACTAAGGGGCAAATAAAGTGTTGTAGGAGGCAGAAGAGAGCTCACTTGCCCTACCTCAGAGCTTTCCGAAAACTACCTAACATGTGATCTATTATAAATCTAAAACAGTAAACAGAGCTCATGCAAATACTATGTGTCCAAGAAGGGCTGTTGATTTTTCAGCTTTTTCTTTGTTAGAATGGAGCGGCAATTTCCAAGCTCCTTACATGTGGAATTAAAAACTGGAAGTCCCTCCGAACTAGATTTTCAGTGTCAGTCATCTCATTGATCTGTTGGCCTTACTTGCCATTTAAAATTATATTAAAACAGGGTAACTGAGCCTGGGTGCTACTGAGATCCAGAGAAACTGTGGGTGACTCTCAGATTATCCTCCTGAGCAATAGAAAAAGCATTTATCTGGAGATTTGTATTTCTTGGACACTGAACATTAATTCCCTCTCCGTTCTGGGTCTACTGTGCATGACTGTGTGGCAATTCCCACCCTCCGAAATTCCTGGGATAAAAGTCGAGAGAAAGCTGTACAGCTGGAGCTTAAAAAGTGGTCAAGAGGATATGAAGCTGGGCTTGAGAGGTACTCAAAATAGCTTAGACACTTTTTTATTTTAGAAAATACAACCAGGATCCCATCTGCTACTCATTCCTACCATAAAAGGATCCCAGCGGCCTCTGTTGTGGCTCATCCACCCAATTTGACATGAACTCTTTGGAGCACTCTCCTTTTTGAATTCTGAGACAGAAGGAAATAACTTTTCCTCTGACTCTTCACAAACCTGGGCTGAGCACTCCCCAGGGGCACTTGAATGGTCTGCTTTGACAAAATG